GAGACTAATAATGATTAATTTCATATATAGTCCACTTAACTACTTATCTTTTACATATGAAGAGTTCAGATGCAAACGCCTCTAAGTGCCATTTGAAATTTTCTTCTAGAATGATCATTTTTATCAAGCTTGTATATTTAAGTTCAGTGATTTCACTTAAATGGCAATGATAATTACCTAATAATTGTTATTTAAGTGAAATTACTGAACTTAAATATACAAGTTTGATAAAAATCATCATTAAAGAAGAAAATTTCAAATGGCATTTAGAGGCTTTTGCATCTGAACTCTTCATATAGTTTTCAAAAATGGTATGTTTTACAAATAGTTTCATAGTGCTAAAAAAAGAGTACAAGATGACCTCCTTTCCTTAATTCCTAATTTGTGAATTTTAAAAAATGGCAAACATTCAAATAAAAGCACAGCAGGTTGGACATGGACCAATGATTCAGTGCAACAACAGACACTTTGTTTCTCTCCCTCTCGCTCTCTGTCTTTACCCCCCGTTGTCTACCAATTTAATTGTGCTGAATCTCCGCTAAATGAATTTACAATTTAGACTGAAGTAATCCATGCATTACAGCCAATCAAACAAGGACTGCAGAGAAGAATCTTAATGTAAGATAATTAATAATACAGATCTCAGATAGGAAAAACTATATTCCTAGCATTCTCTCTGCCTTCCACAAACTACCTGACAATTGTTCCTTAACGATTCCCAGTAAATTCCTTAAAATGGTAATTTGTCATCTTGTCACTTCATTTGTGACCTAAAATTCCTCACTATAGAGGCATCATCAGATAAATTAATCACTACCCAGGATCCATTTCTCCATTTGTCCCTTGTGCGCGCCATTATGTGCTAGCTCTCTGCCAACGCTCTTCATTTACATATATTTAATGGCTTATTCGTGGCTGCTTGTGTCTGACGGTGTGCATACAGCATGTCAGGTGAACTCTCCCCTCTTATTCATTTCGATGAGTACGAACACGTTTATTTGGGATTTGCTATTGTTCTCCAGAAAGTGTAAAATGCACTTTGTTTTTTTTTGTGTGTACTTTCAGGAGTGGCAAATACAGTCTTGACTTGACTCGCGTTGGCTGGTGTGACATTATCAAGGATGCTCTTTGATCTGAAATGAAACCTTTAATAAAACAGACATTGCCCCAAGTAGTTATTTTAGTATGATTTTAATAATAGAGCACACTGCATATTTAAATCAATGTTCGTTGTAATTATTTCCTTTTAACAGCCTGAGAATGTGAAATATATTGCATTTTGAACTGCTTTATGAAAAGTTACACGTGTAAACCTCATTTACTCTCGCTGTATAGTTGCATAGAAAGAGACTCAGTATTTAAGAATATACATTGAGTGCAATACTGAAACACTTTCTTGTGAAAGCTGCTCATTTAAGTCATATAAATAAACTGTCAGTGTATGTGTTATTAAATGAAGAGGTTTGAGTGATTGCTCAAAGGATGTGAGAGAAGTGTCAGTGTTTATGAGAGTTATGGCCTCAGGGAAGAAATGAAGGTGTTGATTAGTCCTGGTTTCAGTAAATAGGAAGTGGTCAGAGTACAAGGAAAATATGAGTTTATATGATACAAATATATAAATAATATTTCTCTGAGCAGGGTTATTATGTATTGAAACATCATATGTTGTGTAATTTCTCATAGGTTACAAAAATACAACACAAGAGTAAAAAAAAAACAAAAAAAACATGTGTTAATTATTTATTTAAAACATGCCAGTTTGTCTCAATATGGGATTGAGTGTTCACTTTTTTTACCCAGCAGCTTTTACAAAAATATTACATTGGGATTTTAGATAGGAAGACATAATTCACTAAATGCTATTCTAGTTATTTAACAGGACTTTTAAAATAAAACCCTATAGGTACTGAGATTAAGTCCTTTTGACAATAGCTCTTAGATTTTTTTATTTTTTTTTCATTCAAGGAGATACTCCTTTATTTACATTCAACTTAACATGTTTTCAACTATTCTCACCCAGCTGTCCTTTCTTACAATTTAAGCTAATTTCAAATGCAATTAGCATAATTCAAGATTAACATTCATTAATTGTTGAAGCTGATGCTAACTGCTAATGTGTCATTAACACTGCTGGCAAATGCTTCATCACCTTGAGATGAGAGAAACACACACACACCATAACACAAACATGACATGTTGGTGAAAACCCTGTCCCCTGTTAAATGAATATGTAAATTGTGGCAAAGTCTTTATAAAGTGTTCTTGACTGTGGCAAATGGAATGTATATGAACGGTAATGATTTCTGAACTCTGATTATCCACTGTATATACATACATTTAAGTCACACTTACAAATGAACATTATCACATTACAATGTCAAGCAAGTGGTATTTTTATTTCATATTTGAATAAATATAGCACACAATGTTTCAAGCAAAACATTTCACAAAACTAAGTTTGGTATGTTTGAATACAAAAAAAAAAAAAATGCATTTGGTTAAAAATGAAGGCAAACAGTATTTGGTCACTTTGTGGTTGTTTGTAATACCTATGCCTATTGTAATGGGCTATGCACATTTTCCCTATTTAAACACAGTTACACGAGTAGTGTAACTTCACTATTTCTAAGCTTTTAGCTTTTCTAAGCGTGTAAAGTGGATAACTATATTGTATGGTGAAATACCACAGCAAGTGATTGGGAGCACTTCGACTCGGAGCATATTTATCTATGGACTCGGCGCAGTAATATCGACACTCCGTAGAGTGAGAGGGGGAGAGGACTTTTCACGAGTGATGATATTACTGCACCGAGTCGAAGTGCTCCCAAGCACTTACTGTGGTATTCTGCCATACAGTACATTATTTATCCACTTTACACACTTAGAAAAGTGCAATGTTTTATTTTGTGTCTACGTCCTAGGACCAGTGGTGGAGGAAGTACTGAATCTCAGTACTTAAGTAAAAGTAAAAATAACCAGATAAATATTTACTTTAGTAAAATTACAAGTAACACAATGACAACCATACTTAAGTAAAAAGTAAAAAGTACCTGATTTTAAATGTACTTTAAGTATTAAAAGTAAAAGTACTCTTGCATAACAACTTATTCTCTTAATGTCTATTTTCTAATGATCAATAAAACATTTAATTCTAACTCATTCAACCTAATACTCCAATAATGATGTTCAATAATGATGGAACAAAATAGTTGTCACAATATCTGAAACAAGCTTGCAATTAGGCAATATACACATCATGCTTATCCTTACTATACCGGTATGTTAATAACTATGTTTGGCAGTAAACGCGATTAATTTATGGTGTAATTCTAAACCTCTTGGCTTGCCATAATCCTAACCAAACGTATATTACACACGGTGCGTTTCCTATGCACTTAAAAACAAATTTCCGTGTATAAATTGCACGATAAACACACTGCGTGCGAGACGTATTTAGAGTGACCGGGTGGATATATCAATGGCAACCAAACGTCACTGGTGAGACAAACGTGCAACGAACGGAAATGGTCAGATTAAGTTTTGGCAGGGGAAAAACTGATCAGAAAATGTAATGAAAATGTAAGAGAAGTTGTAGAAATGTAGTAGAAAGTAGAAAGTAGAATAATAGAAGTAGAAAGTAGAATAATTGCTGCAAAATGTAACGAAGTAAAAGTAAAAAGTATGCATTATTTATTCTACTTAAATGTACTTAAGTAAAGTAACAAAGTATTTGTACTTCGTTACATTCCACCACTGCCTAGGACCAACAATTGTTAAGACCTCTACAATTGTTAAGACTACTCATGTAACTGTATTTAAATAGGGAATACGTGAAGGTGTTTGTTCACTTCTCTGCTTGGCCCATATTGAATGAACTGGGCTAGTTAAGCGACATCAAAGTGTATCGTGCGCCAGAGCGATTAAGTGCACGCCCTGAGACGACAGAGGTATGTATCAACTCGTCTTACTAAGAATGCTTTGGAATAACATAGTTTAATATAAAAAAAATTAAAAAAAAAAGTGGAGTATCCCTTTAAAACAACGAACAGAACAAGAGATGCCAGGAAATGTTAGAAGTGCAGATGAGTCTAACCTGGGTACTTCCGTCCAATAAGGAGTGGCATTTGTGGAGCGTGGATGCTGTAGCAAGACTCCAGCAAGACTTGTGTGGCACAGAGGCTGCCCTTTCCACCCTGCTTTGTACTGCATGTCTGAAGGGATCAAAATAAGTATTGTTTAAGACTTCAGAGAACATTCTGACATGAACATGAAAGACCAAACCACCAGCGAGTATACTGTCAATTTAGATTGGGTTTTGGCTGACTGAAGTTCCCTATGGTTCAGAAAGATGAATTCAGACTATTATTAGATTAGGCAAAGGAGGTGGTGTATTTAGCAGAGGACAACTTTGCTGTTATAAGGGAAAGTAAGCATGGACTGGGCTTAATACTGAAACTAATCTCAAATATATTCGATTTGTATAGGGATAGGGCTGCACAATATTGAAGCAAAATTTGAGAAGCAAAAACGTGTTAAACAATTTGATATGTGAAATGAGAATGTGTTAAGTGCGTAAAATACATTTAAATTAGATTTAAATATATTTTAAAAAATGTTTCACATTCTTTATGAGAAAAAAAAACCTTCTGAAAGTGAACAGCAGTGTTTTACAGTAGCATTACGTTAAAAGTTCATTCAAGTACATAAAAATTCATTCCTGCTGAACACAAAAGAAAATGTTGGAAGTGTTTTTAAATGGCTCTGCGATACGTGTGTATTTGAGTATTCATCAATATTGTTATTATTATACAAACCAGAGTATTTATGAATGGTGATGAATATTAAATTTCAGCCCATTCTCACCCCCAAGGCGTCACTTAACTGACGCCTTGGGAAGCATTTGGACATGCTTCAATATCTGACGCTTTAGGCGCCCTTTAGCGTCAGTTATATGACGCCCTAGGATCGAGTGTACCCTACCCCCACCCCACACCTACACTGTAAACCCTAATGTTGTCTTTACTTAAACAATCAAGTGTACTTGACTAAACATTACTTGAAATTGTGCATTTTGGCCGGGTCACTCAAAAATATAAGTTCAAATAACTAATTTACCTTCAAAATACAAAAACTTAAGATTCCAAGTGCAGTGAACTCAAAATAATGATTAAAACTTACAAAAGGTCATTTTCACAAATTTCTTAACTGTGAAATGAAGGATACATTCATACATGCTTTCTTCAAGTGCAAGGTGTCATTCTTATTTTACCAGAAAACAAATGGCTTTCATTTTACAATTATTGATCATAATGTAAATAAACGTTTATTTAAAAAAAAAATCCTGATACTTTAAACTTCATAAATAAACTTTAATATCTGTATTCAAGTGTTTTTGTAATACTGTGGGTTGCAGTTTTCACTCAGTAGCCTTTTTTATGCAGTAAACAACATGTACAGAACAATAAAACAAACAAAATACAAGCTCATACATTTCACGTGCACATATATGCCACGTGACAAAATGCATGAAAGAGTTCCTCACATCAGCCACCAACCATGTATCAATGAAAAAATAATATACAAACTTACAGAAATACAGCGACGACACATTATGTTTAACGTTAAATCAAATTCATTTCAAATCGGTTTAATTAAAATGTCTCTCTCTGATCTTCCTCTGATGCGATTGGCCACGCAAGGAGTTCTGCCTGGCAACAAGAAAACTAATGCACTAATTGGTGGATTTCAAAATTGGTGATTTTCGCATCGTCTGTTGCTGCTGCTGACACAAGTTCAAATCTCAAGACGGGAGGTTTTCTTTGTGTAACATTCTCGGTAAGTAGAATTATTAATATATAAAGTTATTTTGTATGACTTTTTAACTCTGAATTATGTTTATTTAAATCCTTGCACGGTTAAAAGAGAACGCAGCCAACGTTAATTACAATATTTCCTGGTCAAACTTTTCCAACATAACGTTTTATCGATGGTTTTGTGATGACATGATAACTGCGATATCAAACGATTCTTTAATTTATTAGTTCAATTGTGTAATCATGTATTTCTCTGCAAAAGATCATAGTTAACTAACGTTAACTTAGCCTAACGTTACTTCAGACCAGTCAACTTAGTGATGTTTTTTTTTTCTTTTTTCTGGTCAAACTTTGACAACCTCGACATCAATTAACGGTATTTTCTTCATGACTTTGTGATAGTATGATTATTGAAATGTCAACAGCTTATTTCTTATTTTACTAGCGAGATAAGTTAGCTAAGTTACACATTTGATGATCTTTTTCCGTGCAAGAAAGAACATGGCTGCTACTGCACAGACCATGTGGGTTATTTTTCCCATAGATTTTTTCCGGGCAAACTTTGTCAGTTACCCGTAACTTTAACGTTAATTGCAAATATTTTCATCATGATACATTTCTGATTGACTGAGATAAGTTTTAAGAACATTGTTACTATAGCTAGGACGAATTAGTGATGTTTCGTCACGCTTGTCACCAACGATTTAATCATATGGAAAATACTATAGTCAATGCAAACTAGCAACTTTTGGCTACAAACAAAACCATGCACAAAACTGTTTGAGCATGAGTACTTGATAATTTTCATTTTTGAGTGGACTAAGTTATTCCTTTAATGTGTTAAAAATATTTCTTAGCCTCTAAGTTACATTTGTTTCCTAATTAAGCAATAAAGCATTTCTATGTGCACACTAATGTGATTATGTGATCTGTCTTTATCTCCCCTCAGATCAAGTTCAACAGAAAAAAACCTAAAACAGGATTTCTACTTCTACAGAACATACAGTTCATGGACCTTTTTACAGCCAAAAGGGGGACTCCTGGTCAGTACTTGGCTAACGTTCAAATAAAGGTTAGTAATGGTTAATAATAAATAAAGGTTTTGTCTTATTTAAAATAACTAACAGGATAACTTTTACTCACCCTCAAGGTGTTCTAAACCTGTATACATGTATTTGTTAAAGCTGAACACAAAGGAAGATATTTTGAAGAATGTTTGTAATTGAACAGATTTGGGTACAATTAATGTTCGTAGTATTTTTTTTTTTTCTTTTTTTTTTAAGCATGTAAAAGTCAATGTTGGCCCAAAACTGCTTGGTTACAAACATTCTTCAAAATGTATTCTTCCTTTGTATTTAGCTGAGCAAAGAAATGTACAGGTTTGGATTGGAATAACTTGAGGGTGACTAAATGATGACAGAAATTTCATTTTGGGGGAACGATCCCTTTAAAAGCATTTAATTTTGTCAGCATTTAATCGTATAAAAATTCTTCAAATATATTGATTAGTTGTTGGCATTAATGGAATTTTGTGTTTTCCTTTAAAATCATCCCAGCCAACGGAGGTCCGAACCCTTGGGATTCGATGACAACCTATCATGCTTGGAGATGATGGTGACTCTGGGATTAAGGTTAGTGTTATGTGTTCTTAATAGATCTAGTGCACGTTCTGAGAAACATGAATTCATAAACATTTGATTCCTGATCGTAATATTCTATTTATGTCTGTTTTTTCACTAGGTGTCTGATCATCGCAACTCCATCCTTAATGTGCCAGTGGGCATCTTATTTGAGGACACTGAACTTCAGCCCCCCAATTCCTTGTATTTAACTTCTACGATTGGAATAATACTTGAAGGACAAGTGGTGATTGAAAAAACGCAGGACCTCCCACAGGCTATGTGTCTCCTCTTCGGTCTGATCTACGCTGTCTGATCTACGTGTGCTAATGTCAATGGGACAGTATTCTCTCAAGCCTAAATTGCAGTCTCTGGCAAACCAGCTTTTTGTTTAAAAAACGTCACTGTGAGACTTTAACACCACTCTGAGAAATGTTCTACAAATGATTTGCAGAAGATACAGTACTGTAATATTGTGCAAATATTTGGTCAAAGACACTGACTATGGTCACTATGCTTTACTTAGTTTGCTGTGATTTCATAAAGCTTAAACAAGTAAAATGTAAAAACAATGTACATTACGTGTACATGTTCAGTACATTTACAAAAATTTGAGACTTAAATGTAATGTGTAAGTGATCAGAGTTGTACAATTGATAGTGCACTACTTAATGTTGGATACTGTTGCCACATTTAGAGTTATGTACAGGGTGTGACTCATTTCCATTTGAAATTTTGGTCAATAAAGACTCAAAGGATCAATATGTTGTTCATTGTTTTATGTAAGTGCAGTGTGCACACAGCTTACAGTCAAAAATATGAGCTTTAAAATTTTGAAATAAAATTACAGTTAAATTTTCATGTTGAGTTTACTTAAATATACAAGTACAATTGATATTAACACTAAGTTAAGTGAACTTTATTGTTTAAGTACATTAAATAATCGTCAAGTTTGGTGAACTAAACAATTTAAGTAAAGTCTACATAACTACCAAGTTAAGTAAACTTAACTATGCAAGTTTTGGGAGTTCTCATTACTCAATTAAATTGAGGGAACGAGTTTACTCAAATCAATTGAGTTAAATCAACTTATTAGGGTTTTCAGTGTAAACCTAACCGCGTCCTCTAACTGACGCTTTCCTTTAGCGTCAGTTAAATGGGATCGCGTCATGTAAGTGACGCTAAAGGGCGCCTAAAACGTCAAATATTGAAGCATGGTCAAAGGTGATGCCTTAGGGTTGAGAATGCGTTGTACATTTGCATAGCTATTGTATGGATATGTAAACAAAGTAAAAGTGTTGAGAAGCAGCTGAAGCATGTGGGAAAGAAAGAAGGCCACGGCCAACGAGATGAGACCTCTTCAATTGTTAAGACCATTGATTAAGAACGTATATATACCAAATAAACAAATATTTTTGTTTTTATTCCAAACAATATTTGCTTTTATTTTATTATAATAACTTTATTTTCATAATGAATGACAGTACAGCTTCAAATGTTTTTATAGTCAATATATATTTAATAAACTAATAAAACTAATAGACTAATACAATATTTTCATTATTATTTATTAGATATCACATTGTGTTATGTATAGGCCTATACTATGATTGTAAATTTGAAAGTTAAGTAGGCTAAATTACAATATTTATTAATCTAATCATAATCTGCGCCACCTAATCTTTGTCTTTCTTTGACGAGGCTGCAGGGCATTTCAAATTAGCAAATATTGTCAGTAAAGTCCACTTCGACTGATATTTCGTGTTCAGGGAGAGCAGTGAACACTACATAGGGACCCTGTCCAATGGGACACAGCTTAAGACACTCTTCTCTGCTTTTCAAATACATATATTTTTTTTTTAACTTTATATACATATAAAGTGTGCTTCCTGAGTAAAGAAAACACTTTATTTATTCAAACAAACAGTTATTTATTTACCTTTGCATTGCAAACAAGCAGAGACGGTCCATACTGTGTGCGGCACTTCATTCACAATAGAGTTGGAGTGAAGTTATGAGATTTTGTCACAAGCTCTTTTTAATATGTTTCATTGGATAAATATTTAGAAAACCGACAGTAATTATTTGTTTAAAAAGACAAAATATGGAGATATTCTTTTTCTGAACAATATTTTTTCAATTTTGTTAATATGGTAACTGTCTTACATTGTTTTACCATTAGTGAAATAATAATAAACACAATTAATACACAATTAAAAAAGTCTTTTGATTATCGATTTGAATAATTTGCTCATTCTTAAATTGAAAATCAAATACCACATTCGAACACATTAATATAGGCTGCATTTTATATAAATATACATGGACTCTACCCATCAAGATGTCAAGAATATATTTGTAATCAACTGGAGAGGATATCTGTCTTTCAGCTCAATTTGCATTTTACAGCTAATTGGTGGGGTTTAAAATACACTCACAATTTTACCCTTTTTAAGTATGCAGTGGAAAATCAATGACGAAGGACAAAGAGAGAATGCAACATGAAGATATGAACTCATTCTATATGAATCATATTTGTTTGTTTTAGTACATCAGCGTATAAGAACGAAGGTGACCCTCAGAAGGTGTGTTCATTAAAATCTTCTCTCCTCGATTCATCACACTTCTTTTTGCTGAGCCAACACTCAGACACTAGTTAGATGACTGTAAAGGACACACAGTCACACTTAGGTGGAAACTGCTCAAGTTGAATAAATTTCATCTTATTTTTACATTTGCATTCTGTGGTATATAGGACCTATAACAATGAGGATAATAAAAATAGGAATAAAAAATGACAGTCAGATCTGAACCTGCAGAGCTACAATTACATGAACGTAGTGATTTTTTAGCACAGGTATGAGGACAATCTAGCACACCAGAAATATCTTAAATCTTTTATCAGCTTGTACATAGTGTAATTGTGACTGTAAAATATTGCAAGGCAACAAAAAAATTGTGTTCTGTGGTGTTTGTGAATTGGTTCTATGGCTGTGTTCCAAAAACTAATGGGTTTCCTCACTTTGTAGGCTACTGCTTGCTTAACTTTATTCTAAGATTGCACTTTTACGGAAATTACTTATTTAGGACGCTGTAACATCTCTGAGTGATAGCGCTCAATATAAGACAGTCAAAATAAATCTTAATATTAGCATTTTGCTAAGATAAAGGGATTCACCCATAAATGAAAATTCCTCCATGATTTACTTACCCTCAAGTCATCCTAGGAGTATATGACATTCTTCTTTCAGATGAAATACAATCAGAGTTATATTTAAAAATATCCTGGCTCTTCCAAGCTTTATAATGACAGTGAATGGGCGTTATATTTTATTTTTTATTCCATAAAAGTACATTGTGTTAAATTTGAATATTAGTTCATAAAATTTCTCCACATGGCTGTAAGAATAATATATAATATCCATATTTAACACGATGCACTTTTATGATGGAGAGATGCACTTTTATGATGGATAGATGCACTTTTATGATGATAGATGCACTTTTATGATGGATAGATGCACTGATGGATAGATGCACTTTTATGATGGACAGATGCACTTTTAAGATGGATAGATGCACTTTTATGATGGACAGATGCACTTTTATGATGGACAGATGCACTTTTATGATGGACAGATGCACTTTTATGATGGACAGATGCACTTTTATGATGGACAGATGCACTTTTATGATGGATAGATGCACTTTTATTATGGATAGATGCACTTTTATGATGGATAGAAACACTTTTATGATGTTAGATATACTTTTATGATGGATAGATGCACTGATGGATCAACCCGGTCTCATCCCAAATCGTCATATAACTGACGTTTTGGGACGTCTTTTGACCATACGTCAATATTCGCCTTTTTAGGGCCCCCTTAAACGTCGGTAGATGAGGTTATGGGATCCTAACTCTACCCCATACCTAAACTTAACCCTAAACCTAACCCGTCACCTAACTGACGTTAAAGGTAAAGCGTCAGTTGTATGACGGCCCGGGATCGCCATCTACCGACGTTTAAGGGGGCCCTAAAAAGGCGGATATTGACGTATGGTCAAAATACGTCCCAAAACGTCAGTTATATGACTTTTTGGGATGAGACTGTGTTAGATGGATAGATGCACTTTTATGATGGATAGATGCACTTTTATGATGGACAGATGCACTTTTAAGATGGACAGATGCACTTTTAAGATGGACAGATGCACTTTTATGATGGACAGATGCACTTTTATGATGGATAGATGCACTTTTATTATGGATAGATGCACTTTTATGATGGGTAGATGCACTTTTATGATGGATAGAAACACTTTTATGATGTTAGATATACTTTTATGATGGATAGATGCACTTTTATGATGGATAGATACACTTTTATGATGGATATATACTTTTATGATGAATAGGTGCACTTTTATGATGGATAGATGTACTTTTATGATGGATAGATGCACATTTATGATGGATAGATAGACTTTTATGATGGATAGATGCACTTTCATGATGGATAGATGAACTTTTATGATGGATAGATACACTTTTATGATGGATAGATGCACTTTTATGATGGATAGATAGACTTTTATGATGGATAGATGCACTTTTATGATGGATAGATGCACTTTTATGATGGATAGATGTACTTTTATGATGGATAGATACACTTTTATGAAGGATAGATGTACTTTTATTATCGATAGATGCACTTTTATGATGTTAGATATACTTTTATGATGGATAGATACACTTTTATGAGATGCACGGTAACACTTTAGAATACTGTCTAACTGCATAACTAATAAGGAATTAATGAAGAACTAATAGGTAATTCTTTATTAACACTTAAGTCACTACTGTTAACTACTAAGGAAGATGTGTTAACTAATCAGTGTGTAATATAATTTTATGATTGTGTTAAGTATCAGTTAGTTAATTAATAGCTAATGAATTCTGTCATACCTCCTGAAGAACTTCTATTAATTATCTATTAATTAAGGTTCAAGAAAAATAACTATGAAGTAACTACTAATTAACAGTCATACACAGTAGTCAGTTTGTCATTCTTCAGTGACAAGAATTTACCTATAGGCTATGATCTGCAAATAAGCAAAAACATATAATGTATATTACACCTTATTATTATACTTAGTTCTTATACATTTTAAACTTCTTTTGCACCATTCAAGTTCCGGCAATATCGCGGTAGCCACATACACTGAGCCTGGGTTCTCCCAAGGTTTTTTTCTCTCCATTGAGTTCACCTGATGGAGTTTTGGTTCCTTGCCACTGTTGCCTTTTTCACCTCTCTTCGCCTTTGTCGCCATTGGCTTTTGGCTTGCTTAGTTGGGGACATTTAACATTTAATTTTGAATTTAACAATACTATTACAACATTGTTTTCCTGTTATCTATGTGAAGCTGCTTTGAAACAATTTGTATTGTAAAAAGCGCTATATATAAATTTATGACTTCTTTGGCGTAGGCCCCGTCCTTAGCGAGCATAGCGAGGTTAGCCGAATCTGCATGTCCCGCCTGAGATGAAGGCGGGGGCGCAGCCCACCCCCTGGAGGTAAGGAAGGGACCATCCTGGAGGTGGTGATGGGGAGGATGGAGGGGAAGGTACCATCTTGGTGGTGGTTGGGGAGGATGGAGGTGAATGGCAGCGTCAGCATCTGCGAACTCAGACAAGTGTAAGTACCAATCTTTTATACTGAGATTGTTAACACCTGATTGGATAGGAATGATTG